CATGTATGTTCAAAGAGAGACAACACTGTCTTTTGAAAGGATAGAAGAAATAGATAAAAATTGGCTAGATATTCTAACAATTTTCCAATAGAACTGATGTTGAAAGCGTATTTCTCCCACTTCTTTCATATAGTTATATCTATATTCTAAGGAAATCTATACACAGATGGGGCAGGGTCTTAAACTGGGATATGTCAATAAATTGTTTTTTATTATTATTATTATAAAAAACGAGTAGCTGTCTAATTCAAGTTCGAATATAAATGAAAAAAATGGCTTCCATGTTCTGACAGACAAAAAGCAAAAGCAAAACTTTATCCAACGATACACACCCGTTTAAGCAACAAAAAAAAAATAATTTTGTATAAATTATAAATTTATAAATTTATAAATGCGAAGGCACACCCATGTTGAAATAGCAAAAAAGCAAAAGAAATAATTTGTGTACGTCCTCTGATAGTACCAATGGGAAAGTCTCTAATCTGTGTTGGCACAGAAGCAGCCTCCCGGCGCTCTTCGGGTGATCCTTCGGTCCACCACGTGCCGAGGCTTAAAGAAAGGTATGCGTGTGCCCTTTGACAGGGCTGATAATGCACAGACGTGTTTCTTATATGAATACTGCACCAGAGCCACTAAAATGTTCCATAGATAGTCTGTGACAGTTAGGTCAGTTTTTGCATGATGCATAAGTTGAAAAAGGTTGGTTGTCTTCTCAATGTACTATTTAGTAACTGTCGAAGTAATTTCTACTGATCTTGCTAGCTGTTGTTTACACTTGAGGAGAATTTTGCCGGGTGTTTTCTTCTGATGTAAGGCAAGTGCCGGATACACGTACTGAATTGAAGCTCTTAGAGTAGTGGGGTTTCACTCGTTTCTGCACCTACGAATACTGTTACTCTGCTAGCTATCGAACTTTGAATGCGCATCGGTGATTTGCAATCGTAAGCTATAGAATCTGAGATGGTTGGGTTGTAAAATAAAAGACAATATTCCGGCGGCCACCATAGACAAGATTTTTTATTAGATCACGGATATCGAACTTCAATCGTAAATTGGAACTTCACATATCCCTGACGACATTAAACCTATTTAGTTTTCACTGAGAGGAATCCTTCCTTCATTTTCATCTATCCAAATATCAGTCTAGCAATAAGGTTAGTTAGATGTGGCAAATTTTGTCTTAATGCGTTCTTCGCTCATACGTGATTAAGTTATGCAAAATAAATACTTTCCTTTTCTACTGTTACACAATGCGTATGCCTTTCTATATATAAATTTATAATTCAGATAAAATGATTTCTGTTGCTTTTTAGCTATTTCAACATGTGTGTGCCTTTTTCCATTTATAAATTTATAATTTATATAAAATTATTTCTTTTGCTTTTTTGCTATTTCAACATGAGTATGCCTTTTCATTTATAAATTGATAAACTTATAATTTATATAAAATTATTTCTTTTGCTTTTTTGCCATTCCAACATGGGTGTGCCTTTTCGTTTATAAGTTTATAATTTATATGAAATTATTTCTTTTGCTTTTTTACTATTTCAACATGAGTGTGCCTTTTCATTTATAAATTTATAAATTCATAATTTATATAAAATTATTTCTTTTGCTTTTTTGCTATTTCAACATGGGTATGCCTTTTCATTTATAAATTTATAAATTTATAATTTATATAAAATTATTTCTTTTGCTTTTTTGCTATTTCAACATGAGTATGCCTTTTCATTTATAAATTTATAATTTATAATTTATATGAAATTATTTCTTTTGCTTTTTTGCTATTTCAACATGAGTGTGCCTTTTCATTTATAAATTTATAATTTATAATTTATATAAAATTATTTCTTTTGCCTTTTTGCTATTTCAACAGGGAAGGCGTTTTTTTCATTTATTTTCGAAGTAATCATAAGCAGTGACATCTCCATTTATATTCGAATTCGAATTAGGCAACTCATGTAAAAAACCAATTTTTTAACCTTGTGTATGTTTGGAGGATCTCCAACTTGTGAAATTTTCAGTTGCGATAACTCGAAGAAAGTAATAAAAATTTGACGTATAAAAATGATGTCATATCTTTTATGTTAAATAACAATAAACAAACTGTTTGGATAAGTGCACTTATGTAAAACGAACGACTAATGGTTCATATTGCAACCATTCTGCAGATTTCGCTCATGAAAAATAAGTTTAAAAGTTAGATTTTTTTGTGAATGCTCGCTAATATTTCCTTAATAAGAAATTTCAATAAAACACTGATTTTCCAGTTACAGAATGAAATTGAAGAAATCAGAAATAGTTCACAATAATGCTTTGGTTTAGAAGTTGCCATTGAGAATCCTCGTGCTACAGATCAAATAGTTTGTCAAATTAAGCCGAATTTGAGATTACATGTAGTCTAAATAAAAAAAGGATGGCATTATGGAGAAATAGAATGAAACATAACAGTGACTAGCCATGAGTAGTGCCTCGATGGGTTTCCGACGAACGACTAGCCGGTGCACTAAAAAATCTCTTGAAGACACACTTCACACTGAAAAAAAAATTGGTACGATACCGAACCAAAAAGAGTATCGTGAACGAAAAAAAGGTTTCGAATTCGTTTCAATTCTCTGAACCATTTAAAGTTCGGTACAGACCACTACGAAAAACTTGAAAAAGTGTCCTGAGTCAATGACAATCAATTTTAGTCACCCAAAGTTTTGTACGAAACCTTTTGAGGGTTTCGTATTGCCCTCCAAAATGGTTCGGTACGCTGCAAAAGAATTTGCATGATTACGGAACCATTTAGGAAGACAATACGAAACCTTTAAAAGGTTTCGTACAAAACTTTGGGTGACTAAAATTGATTGTCATTGACTCAGGACACTTTTTCAAGTTTTTCGTAGTGGTCTGTACGGAACTTTAAATGGTTCAGAGAATTGAAACGAATTCGAAACCTTTTTAGGTTCCGTACTATGTACGAAACCTTTTTTTCATCTACGATACTCTTTTTGGTTCAGTATTGTACCAATTTTTTTTTCAGTACAGGCTGTTTGTATTCATCAAACAAAAATCAACAGTCTAGACCTAATGAGTTTGAATAAGGACTAGCAGTTGGTAAGAACTGACAAATATTTTGAAATAAAGTGTGACAACGCTTTTTATGCAGGTGCACAATATTTTAATACTACATTTGGCGGAAAACATCAGTCACAGGTTTTATATTCATGGTATCAGAAGTAGATATAAATGAAATAAACGGGAATTTTTCTGCTGGTATGTGTTCTTGTCTGTACTCATTTAAATGTTGAAATGTATACAGATATATTCAAATTATCTATCTAATCTGACGGTCACTTTGAGTATGAGCTTCTTTCAAGTATGGCAGTTCGATTGAAGACTAGATCTAGTATGATTAATTTTAAGCTAGGAATTCAATTGAACCCGTATTTTTGTAGCGCATACCCCAGTAAAAAATATTGTCGGCTGATGTTTTGGTAAGCCAATAGTTTTCTAGTAGAAATTTCAAGCAGTATGGTGCTGTTTCACAATAGTGTCGTGAATGCATTTTGCTTCGTGACCTCTCAGAAAATTGAATATAATCTGGTTTTTGGGTGCATGTGGATATCGCTGCCATAATGTAGTTCCTTAGACTATTGTTGAGTATAAATATGGGGGTATCGATTTGATTAGATGTATTTGTGGCAAAAATGTTCATTCGGGCCCCCATACCATTATGCACAACAAGACTGACGCTAATATCAACACATACATCCATCCATTCTTTTGACACGTTGGATAGTAGCTGTTTTGAATACTGTAAAACAATATAAAATACCAAAGGACCGAATATACAGTCGAGGGTCCAGCGAGTCACATAAACGAGCGTTACTTGTTTCTATCAAAAGTTCTTCTAAAAATATTCCTCTGCTATTTTCCCTTTACTGTTATCGTTACATATTGTAGCTGAATAATTCTAATGAAAATTTTATTATTACAATATTGGATGAATAATGATCAAATAGTGTAGAAATGTAGAGCTTTGTTTTGACTATTAGGCTATATGAAAAGAAAATTTTCTCAAGCCGTCTATACGAAATTGCGATGAAACCGCCACTACTTTTGGTATGCCCTAACTAGAATAAGGTCTTAGATAGTCATCACATCTGCAGCTTGAATCCTACCATAATCACGACTATCTTAGTCCAATCACTAGACTTATGTATAGTTGATTGAATGAAACGAAAAACCTTTCCGAGTATTCGATCGATAATGATCATTGAAAAGAATTATTTTGAATGATTCAATTGACAAAATACCTTATAGAAATAAGTAAATACTTTCAAAAAAAATTTAAATTCATTGGTAGACACGTCTAAATCATACTCAACAATAGAATGTATCGTTTAATAAATAAAGTATATATTTTCACTGACTAAAAAGATTTCGAAACCAAAGCTATCAACAAATAAGACATATCAATAAAGAAAACGTTCCCAATGGAACGTTTACAAATGTTTAAACTAATGAGTTGAAAGCAAAAACATGTATTAGCAAATAGAGTTCAGTCCATTGAGTCAACTTAGCACAAAAAAAAAAACTTTTGTGAAAGCATACCTCATTGAGTACTGGCTCACACTGTGTTCTATGTTCATGTTTCTAATACCTATCTATGTTTTGCTTTTGGATAAGATCGACATTTTTTGAAGCGTTGTCTTTGTTTGACATAGCCTGATTATTTTGGTGTTCATTAAGAGACTATCCATACCCAAGAAAGAAGCAATTTTTTCAAAAGAAAACAAACATGTAACTATTTGATGTTCTAAATTATGATTACTAATGTAATTAATCCTGTTATTTTAGATATTTTCTAATTTCTCAAGACTTTGCAACTTTTCAGCATAGGAAAGGTATTATCGACAACTCGAAAGGTAATTTATAGAAAAGTATTCTAGTGAACAATGAATACTTACTGAAAACTATCTTTTACTAAATACTGTTTGTTTTTACTATAGATGAATAAAAATTCTACGAGTGATGATGCTATCTCAGTTGAGAATTCACCTGCTGCACAACATGCTCATGTTGACAATCAGCAACGTGAAAACTCAACGCAAAATGAATTTAATTCAGCAGAATGTGCCACTGCTACTAATACAACAAAGAAGTCGTCAATGACTCCGACACCTTTGTATATAATTTTCTTTTGTGTTCAATCATAATAATGTATAGAATGTCTTTATTAGAGAATTTTCGCATTGGTCGCGACATCGACCTTCAATTGCTGCAGGTGCATTTGCTGTATTCACAATTATAGCAATGAGTATTGGTATATTGACTGTTTGTTTCACTTCACCAAAAGCTACTGGTATGTTCTTTTTTATTAATATGTTAGCCACTTTCTATAGATAAAATAAGATTACATGGAGAATCTATAATCAAAAACTCAAAATAACACGTACGAGCGTTTCTGATGGAATACGTCGATCGAAGTCATAGTTTTATAATTGTAAGAAATAAAAAGTTGAACTAAATAATTGCGCATGTATCACACAAAAATTATCGATCACTATTCGTTGTTCTTATCATCGAACCACTAACGTCTGCATTTACAACGAAGGCCATCATTTAGTGCGTCATCTATCTCTTCCTCTTCGCTCGTATATTGTGCTGTTCGTGTATGGTTACTCAGCAAGTAGATTCACATCCATTTCTCTATCCTCATAGTTTTGTCTATTTTTATATTCTATTTCTTAATATAATCATTAATTCAAAATACTAATAGAACCTCTGAAAGTATTACCTAACACAATAATTTTGATAACCGTTTGAGCATGTAAAAATATGAAACTTTCACCTTTTATATCAAACTTTTAGCAAAGTAAATGCTAGAAAAAGAGATTATAAAATGTGGAAGCGATTATATTTAATCATGCAGTTTGGCGCATTCTTACACTCTTCAGTCATATTGTATTCGTTGATGTTCGTCTTCATTCTCAAAGATGACGCACTTTTTGAACAAATTCTAGAGCAAATCGAAGAAAGGAAATAGAAAATTAACTTGCATGATATAGTCGCATATATCTAGCTCTATCTGAATTGCAAGAAACTAAGTAGAATTCTAATGAAAGATGATTGATTTTGAGTTGCGTACAAATACAGTAATAAGACAATTTCTGACAGCATACTATAAAACTTGTAAGGATCCAATACGATCAAACAGTGATAGTTGCACTTGAGCAACCAATCAGTCATCACACTGCTTTTCATCTGTTGTTTAGTTCAAAAATGTGAGCTCAAATTCAAACCAACGGCTCAAAAACCAGTTGAATACAAGTATGGCCCACGATCTGTTGCCGCTGGTGATTTCGACAATGACACATGTTTAGATATAGTTATTGCTCATCATATAGCTAACACGATAACTGTTTATCTTGGATATGGTAATGGCACTTTTAAAAGTCCAATTCCATATTCAACTGGTTCCTACTCAAGTCCTTACATGGTCACAGTTGGTTATTTCAACAATGATTCTTACTTGGATATTGCAGTAGCAAATTTTGGCACTAACAATATCGTTATCTTTCGTGGATTTGGCGATGGGTCTTTCGCAAATCACACAGAACTTTCAACAGAATCCTCTCGTCCAATAGCGATTATCGGTGCTCATTTCAACAATGACACACTACTTGATATTGCCATAGCCAATTACGGAAACCACAGTATCAGTATACTCTATCAATATGGAAATGGAAGTTTTTCGCTTCCAATTACATATCCGACAGGTTACGATTCTTTTCCGTCCTCAATAGCTGCCGGAGATTTCAATAATGACAACTATTTAGACCTCGCCATTGCCAATTACGGTACTAATAATGTTGTGATACTTTTTGGAAATAGCAACAGCACTTTTGCAAAGCAAATTACCATCTCAACTGGCATTGATTCTCAACCATACTCCATTGCCATTGGTGATTTCAATGCAGACAACTTTCTCGATATCGCTATCGCTAATTCTGGAAGTCATGAAGTAGGTGTGCTCCTAAATAATGGTAATGAAACTTTCGCTAATCAAGTCAACTATTCCATCAATTCTGCTTCTCCAATTGCTATTTCGGTAGGAGACTTCAATCAAGATAATCGATTGGACATAATCACCACGAATCAAGGCGCTGACAATATAGCCATACTTCTTGGATATGGGAACGGCAAATTTGCAAATTCAATTATGTATCCAACCGGATCTTCTTCTTCGATTTCAGTTGCCGTAGGTAATTTCAACAAGGACCACCGATTAGATATTGTCGTGGTAAACAATGATACTGGTGCCATTGATATTCTTGTTGGACGTTACGAAGGCTTTCAAAATCAAACAAGGTATTCAGTTGGCTCTTATCCACAATCTGTAACTATTGGTGATGTCAACAATGACACTCGACTAGATATCGTTGTCGCCAATTGGAATAGCAATGATGTGAGTATCCTTCTTGGATATGGGAATGGTTCTTTTGAAAATCAAACAAGATATCCAGTTGGCTTTTCTCCATATTCTATAGCTATTGGTGATGTCAACAATGACACTCGACTAGATATCGTTGTCGCCAATTCGGGTAGCTATGATGTGAGTATCCTTCTTGGATATGGGAATGGTTCTTTTGAAAATCAAACAAAGTATTCAGTTGGCTCTCATCCACGATCTGTATCTATTGGTGATGTCAACAACGACACTCGACTAGATATCGTTGTCGCCAATTGGGATAGCAGTGATGTGAGTATCCTTCTTGGATATGGGAATGGTTCTTTTGAAAATCAAACAAGGTATTCAGTTGGTTCTCATCCACAATCTGTATCTATTGGTGATGTTAACAACGACACTCGACTAGATGTCGTTGTCGCCAATTTGTGGAGCGCTGATGTGAGTGTACTGCTGCAATATAACAGAGGAGCAATTACATATGAAATGAGCTTGGCACCTGGTGGTGGTTCTAGCCTACGATGTGTAGTCATTGGTGATTTGAACAATGACACTAATCTGGATATCGTCTTAGCTAATTACGGTACTAATAATTTAGGTGTTCTTTTTGGATATGGGAATGGTAGTTTTGAAAATCAAATGATGCTCAGCACTGGTATGAATTCTCATCCGATTTCTATTGCACTTGGGGACTTCAATGGTGATCGTGAAGTGGATATTGCTGTGGCCAATCATGATACAAAGCATGTAGATATGATGCTTGGAAATGGGCAGGGAAAATTTGCAATTCAAACAAGTTATGAAATTAGCTTTGATACACCTCCGTTAGTTATGGCTTCTGGTGATTTTAATAATGACGCACGATCGGAGATTGCTGTCGCTTACGATGGACGTGATCATGTGGATATTTTTGTTGCGTATAATTATGGTTCTTTTGAAAATCAAAAAAGGTATTCAGCTGGCTATAATCCACAATCTGTATCTATTGGTGATGTCAACAATGACACTCGACTAGATATCGTTGTCGCCAATTACTATAGCGATGATGTGAGTATCCTTCTTGGATATGGGAATGGTTCTTTTGAAAATCAAACAAGGTATTTAGTTGGCTATAATCCATCATTTGTAGCTATTGGTGATGTCAACAACGACACTCGACTAGATATCATTGTCGCCAATTACTATAGCGATGATGTGAGTATCCTTCTTGGATATGGGAATGGTTCTTTTGAAAATCAAACAAGGTATTCAGTTGGCTCTTATCCACAATCTGTATCTATTGGTGATGTCAACCATGACACTCGACTAGATATCGTTGTCGCCAATTCGGGTAGCCATGATGTGAGTGTCCTTCTTGGATATGGGAATGGTTCTTTTGAAAATCAAACAAAGTATTCAGTTGGCTATTCTCCACATTCTGTAGCTATTGGTGATGTCAACAACGACACTCAACTAGATATCGTTGTCGCCAATTGGGATAGCAGTGATGTGAGTATCCTTCTTGGATATGGGAATGGTTCTTTTGAAAATCAAACAAGGTATTCAGTTGGCTCTCGTCCAGAATCTGTATCTATTGGTGATGTCAACAACGACACTCGACTAGATATCGTTGTCGCCAATTCGTGGAGTGATGATGTGAGTATCCTTCTTGGATATGGGAATGGTAGTTTTGAAAGTCAAACAAAGTATTCAGCTGGCTCTTCTCCACATTCTGTAGCTATTGGTGATGTCAACAATGACACTCAACCAGATATCGTTGTCGCCAATTGGGATAGCAATGATGTAAGTGTCCTTCTTGGATATGGAAACGGTTCTTTTGAAAATCAAACAAAGTATTTAGTTGGCTATAATCCATCATTTGTAGCTATTGATGATGTCAACAACGACACTCGACTAGATATCGTTGTTGCGAATAGGGGTAGCAATGATGTAAGTGTCCTTGTTGGCTATGACAATATAGGTTTTGTAAAGAAAATGATACTAGTAACTGGAAATGATTCCCGACCACAGTGGTTAGTGATTAGCGATTTCAACAATGATGATCTAATGGATATTGGCGTCATTAATTCGCACACCCACAATATTGATATTTTTCTTGGATATGGAAATATCTCTTTTGCAAATCAAATGACATATTCAACACACCCATATTTATCTCCATGCTCTATGGCTGTCGGTGATTTCAACAATGATAGTCGAGTGGATATCGTCTTTGTTAGTTGTAAGTCGAACAGTATTGGTATTATTCTTGGATATGGAAATGGTTCTTTTGGAAATCAAATTATGTATTCAACAAGCTCAAGTTCGTCTCGATACTCTTTAGCTGTAAATGACATTAATAACGACACTATACAAGACATTATCGTCGTGAATTATGATGCCAATTATCTAGATGTACTTGTTGGACATGGCGACGGGACTTTCGAAAGCATTATGCTAGTTCAGTTAGACTATGGTTCCAATCCATTCTTCATTGCCATTGGAGATTTCAATAATGATAAAAAACTAGATTTTGCCGTCGCTAATTATGGTACTGACAGTTTAAATATTCTCTTGCAGACTTGTTAATAATTTTATCTTGTACTTTATATTTTTCTATCACTTACTTATTTCGTATGCTCTTATATTTAATAGAATCATAGTTGAAATATTCAAATGTTTGTAAGTGTGGAAGATGAGTGGAGAAAGAGGATCAGTTAGGTTTGGGTTTGGTTGTGGATTCCTGATGATGTAAGCCTTAGTGTATGGTTGAGAGTATGAATGATTGTCTGGTAGTATTGATCTGACTGTAGTAGAAAAGTGTCTAGATCCATACTCGCATACCACAAAAACGTTTTTTTTCTGTATCAATGACAAGTGTCATGATGAAACCTATCGCAACGATGAAATTGATTATTACGTCGAATATTCAAGTTTATCGAACTTTTTAAGAGCCATTGTCTCGTGGAATGCAATCGTATTGTATGCAGTTAGAGATCAACTCTTGCTTCATAGTAACCTAGTTCAGTATGACTCTATGAATATCATCAAATCACTATCATTTATTACATTCCTTGCTTGCTAATGATGATTATCGATACCATAATGTCAATATGTGCAAAAGAAACGATAGTTTCTTGAGCATGGGGAATCAAAAGTTCAACCTGCAGTTGTCTTCATTAAAGGATGTAGGTGTGGATGCCGAATGCTGGATGAGATTCTTCACCACACCCGCTAACCCACGCACAATTGAACATCAATCAATTTCAATGATGATCACGTTGTTCTTTTGAATAATACAGATAAACTACCCTACTGACGGTGTGGGTGTGAGCACTGGGTTGAGAATAATACACCCATACTCAATTCGTCTCGATCAACTCTCTTACCCACAATACCTATTCGTCCAACGAGATCATTCAGTGTAAATATCTGACTGTGGAAATCATTATGTAATGAAATGGATGGAAGGTGCAAAAAAGGCATTGTCATGACTGATAGTCAAGGAGAAGGAAATAGTCTTACACAATTGTCATATTCAAAAGGAGTCGTTGTCGATCAATTGAACACCGTCTATGTGGCTGATACAAGGAATGATCGAATCATGCATTGATCCAAAGGAGCGACACAGGGAAGTGTCATTGTTGGTAGAAACGGTAGAGGAGGAAAATCGAAACAGCTCAATGACCTCATCGATTTGTCATTCGATTGACATGGCAATCTCTGTGTGTCGTCGATTGGGGAAAATCATTGAATACAAAAATTCAATATCAGATTCAACAAGTGAAGGACTAGGAAGCCAAAGCAAAGTTATTTTTGTATGGTATACGCTCCAGACAATATACAAATGGATGCCCTATCGGAATTCTAGAAATCCTTGAAAAATTATAATAAAATGTACTCTACTAATAACGAACAAAATATCTTACCAAATCCAGTAAGACGCCACGCCATTTGTATGCAAGGAATCCGAAACCGTGGAAACCTTGAGAAGTTTCAACATATCCTGATTCATTAAAAATGAATCAAAGTCATTACAAAAGCTTGCATTTAGATGTTCCTGATACTGCCTGGCACTGCCCAACGCTCGAAAAACCATAGATTCTCTGGAAATCCGCGGTTTTTGCATTGGTAATACCACTTCCGAAATGCGTGAGAAACCTTCCAACTCTTGAACACCATCACTCTGGAAACAGTTTCCACCATTGAAAACACCAAGGAATCCTTAGATTCCTTGAAAATTCTAGCACAATCCAGTTACATCATAAACAAAATATCTGACTAAACTCAGTATGAATCCACACCGTTTGTACGCAAGGTTTTCGAAACCTTGGAAACCTTGAAAAATTTCGGTATATTCTATTCATTGAAAAACAATCAAAGTGATTAATAAATTTGTTTTTTTCAGGTTTCTGATGATTTCTGCAACACGCTAACACCTGCGAAACCAATGGTTCTCTAAAAATCCTTAGTTTTTGGATTAAGTTTGACCGAACAAAATGTGATGAAATCCTTCAG